CAAGATTTTAACTCAGGGATTCTGATTCCAGAATCCACATAACAATGTAACAAATGGGAAGAATTAGCCATATTAAATCAATTTTATTTGCACCAAAAAGAAAAAAAAGGACAAATGTATAAGCAAAATATTAACATATTTATTATATAGTATTCAGGCATGCCATTGCCAACAGTATAGGTGACTTGCTACTTAGATCAGCTTCCTTATTGAAAACAAATTGAAATATAGCATATCATATTTTTAGTAAAAATAAATATTAAAAATTGAAAAATAAAAGTGAAAAATAATCACACTAAAAAAGGAACAAATGACAGGTAATATGCAGAGCCAAACATGAGCTTTAAACATTATAGTATTCACAAAATTGAGTCACTATTAGCATAAGTTTTATGGCCTTGCAAGACTTGGGGCACAGAAAATAAGGTCTAGCTCATGCCTCGGTGGGAGATTCTAATAGACCCACAAAGGACTACATACTTAGTAGCCCTAATGTGTAAGATTTTCTAGTATGCACTAGAAAGAGAAAGACAATAAAGTTTTCCTGGTTAAAACTTTGGTGCCTAAGGAAGAAAAAGAAGCAAAGGAAAGAAGGAAAGTAGAAGAGAAGTAAGGAAAGGAAAGAAGAGAGGGAGAGTGGAAGGAAGGAAGAAATAAGAAAGTCAATAGCGTGTTCATGTGGATTCATAGCCTAAATTCTCACTACCTAAGTAATCTGTAGATCCCCAAGCCCATTTAAAGGTGGGTCCCAGACTACTAGCAGACCCAAGCAATTAATAAAAGCAAATGTAAATTCACTTAAAAGGGTCCCACCTTCTCAAGAGTTAACAAACTGAATAACAATTTTTTATTGTTATTCAAAATGAATAAAGTTCCAAAGTAAGTGAGAAATTTAGTAAAAACTGAAAAAAAACATAAGAAAACAAGTTATAATATTACAAATATTATAGTTCAATACATTAAATTAAATACTTCATTGACTATTTTACCAGTAATTGGACATCAGTAAAGAGAATTAATAACATGGAATATAGAAATGAAGAAATTATCTAGAATATATTACAGAGATACAAACAGACAGCAGATAATTTAAAAGGAAAGAAAAGAATGAGTTTACATGTAAAATGTAGCTGATTTCTTACAAGGAGCAAGAGAAGTCAGAAGACAGAAAGACAGTACACTCAATCCATTTCAGTAAAAATGACTGGTAAGCTAAAATTCTAGTCTTAGCATATGTGCTGATGAAGAAAGTGGATCATAAAAGCATTTTCCACAAAACATAACAATAGAGATAATTCCCAGCAGGTTGCCACTAAAGGAAATTCTATAGACTGTATTTCAGGCAGAAAAACCATGAAGATTTAAAAACTTGTAAATATTTGAATGTGTACACACAAATCAGACAGTATAAAAAAAGTTATACTGTCTATAAGTTAAAGTTAAAAAGTGTTTTAGAGTTAAAATTAAAAAGCCATATGTAAAGTATCTTTAATAATTACAAATAAGAGATTTGTGTGTTGAATTAAATTATAGCAAGGTATTTATGCTGTTTAGGATAACTAGGGTGTACTCTACTATATTTTGCTAAACTATGTGACTAGAGGTCTGGAGTTAGAAATATGGAGGGCTTCGAAGACAGGCACATGACAAAAAGAGGATTTGTGTTGTCCTTGGTTATATTATGAGTTTCGGAATGTACATTAAAGTCAATAAGCAAGTAAGTTTCAGTGTGAAGAATAAATGGGAAAGAACAGTAAATGTAGAGAGAACAGAAGTCCGGGCTAGAATGAAAAGAAGAAATAATTAAAAGGTAAAAATAACAGGACTCATTCATTGATTGGCTGCATAAAAAGGTGATACCATGTATAATTCTCAGGTTATTATCATATTAAAAGTCAACATATACTTTTCAGTTTCCACTCTTGTGTGTACAGAGGCTAAAAGTTATCATTCAGCCTGCAACAATAAATAAGTTAAACAAATTGAAAACAAATGAGCTTTCTTAGACCCAGCAAAGAATTGAGGTTACAGGGCAAACACTACCCTGAAATCTATTTTTAAAAAGGTAAATATAGTGAAGTATAGCCAAGATCTGTTTACCAAGAGCAGAGGGCACCAGAGAAATGAACTGACAGGAGCACTTAAACAATGGCTGTAGAGGGACAAAACTAAGAATTGCATTAACTCTGTTCTGAAACCGGCAAGCAAGAGGTGAGCAGAGTAAAATATGCAAAATGTTGGGAGACAATAAAAAAGAAAACTAGAATTTTATATCCATCATAGTATCTTTCAAAATTGAAGGAGAATTAATAGAATTTCTCAAAAAAATGAGGAAATTCATAACCAGTAGACTTACACTGTAAGAAATGTTAAAAAAAAGAGAACAAAAGTTTTTCATGGAGAACAAAGGGGAGATATTTTCAAACTTCAGTCTAAATAAAGATAAGAAAATCATCAAAGTATAAATAAATGAAGAATTTTATTTGATGTATTCATAACTGGTTTAATAGATAACTGCTTACAGTAATAATGTCTTCAATGATTACACTATATAGATAAGTGAAATAAATGGCACTAACGTTATAAGTGACTGGATGGAAGAAATGGGAATACTCTGTTATAAGGTAACTGCACTACCCATTAAATAGTTGTTATTCAAGAGTGAGATTAGATTGAGAGTGAGATTAGATTAGTTCTAAATGTCTATTGTGAAATCTATGGCAAACATATAACGAAAGTATAGCTAATATGCTAAGAGAGGAGATAAAATAAAATAATGTAAAATATTCAGTTAAAACTAGAGAAGGCAAAGCAAGAAGAAAAAAATGAAAAAAGAGCACAAACAATGAATAGAAAAATATTTATTAACCTAGTAAGTATTAAACAAATTATATTAATAAACATTTTAAATATGAATGGTTTAAATACACTAGTTAAAGGATAGAGAGTACCAGCGTGGGTTTCAAGAACAACAAAAGCCCCCTCAAAAAGACCCATAACAAGATCCAGCTATAAGTTGCCTCCAAGAAACTCACAAATTGTTTTTGTTTTCTTTCTTTCTTATTTTTTTTAACTTTTATTTTAAGTTCAGGAGTACATGTGCAGGTTTGTTACATAGGTAAATGTGTTTTTACATAGGTAAATGAGGGTTGGTTGTACAGATTATTTCATCACCCAGGTATTAAGCCTAGTACCCATGAGTTATTTTTCCTGATCCTCTTCTTCCTTCCACCTTCCACCCTCTGATGGGCCCCAGTGTGTGTTGTTCCTCTCTATGTGTCCATGAGTTCTCATCATTTAGCTCCCACTTATAAGTGAAAACATGTGGTATTTAGTTTTCTGTTTCTATGTTAGTTTGCCAAGGATAATGACCTCTAGCTCCATTCCTGTCCCTGCAAAGGACATTCTCTCATTCTTTATGTCTACATAGTATTTCATGGTATATATGTAACATATTTTCTTTATTCAGTCTATTGTTGATGGGCATTTAGGTTGATTCCATGTCTTTGCTATTGTGAATAGTGCTGCAGTGAACATATGTGTACATATGTCTTTGTAATAGGAATATTTATATTTTGGCAGGTATATACCTAGTAATGGGATTTCTGGGTTGAATCATGTTTTTGTCTTTAGGTCTTTGAATAATTATCACACTGTCTTCCACAATGGTTGAACTAATTTACACTCCCACCAACAATGTGTAAGCATTTCATTTTACTCCACAACTTCACCAGCATCTATTATTTCTTGACTTTTTAATAATAGCCATTCTGACTGGTGTGACATGGCACTGATTGTGGTTTTGATTTGCATTTCTCTAATGATTAGTAACATTGAGGTTTTTTTTTTTTTTTCATATGATTGTGGGTCATGTGTATGTCTTCTTTTGAGAAGTGCCTGTTTATGTCCTTTGTCCCCATTTTAATGGGGTTGTTGTTTTTTTTCTTGTAAATTTGTTTAAGTTCCTCATGGATACTTGATATTAGCCATTTGTCAGATGCATAATTTGCAAAAAATTTCTTCCATTCTATAAGTTGTCTGTTACTCTTGATAGTTCATTTTGCTGTGTAGAAGCTCCTTAGTTTAATTAGATCTCATTTGTCAATTTTTGCTTTTGTTGCTATTGCTTTTAGCATGGTCATCATGAAATCTTTGCTGGTGACTATATCCTGAATGGTATTGCCTAGATTGTCTTCCAAAGTTTTATAATTTTGGGTTTTACATTTAAGTCTTTGAAATGTACCTTGAGTTAATTTTTGCATATGGTATAAGAAAGGGGTCCAGTTTCAATCTTCTGCATATGGCTAGCCAGTTATCCCAACATCCTTTATTAAATAGGGAATTCTTTCTCCATTGCTTGTTTTTGTTAGGTTTGCAGATCAGATAGATGTAGGTGTGTGGTCTTATTTCTGGGTTCTGAATTCTCTTCCATTGGTCTGTGTGTCTGTTCTTGTACCAGTACCATGCTGTTTTGGTTACTGCAGCCCAGTGTAGTTTGAAGTCAGGTAACATGATGCCTCCAGCTTTGTTCTTTTTTGCTTAGAATCGCCTTGGCTATTCGGGCTTTTTGTTGTTGTTGTTCCATATGAATTTTAAAATGTTTTTTTTATCCCTAGTTCTGTGAAGAATTTCAATGGTATTTTGATAAGAACAGCATTGAGTCTATAAATTACTTTGGGCAGTAGGACCATTTTCATGATATTGATTCTTCCTATCCATGATCATGGAATATTTTTCATTTGCTTGTGTTATTTCTGTTTTTATTTATTTTTTTAAAGGCACTGATAGGTTCAAAGTAGAGATGGAAAAATATATGCCATGCTGGGATGGACTGAATGAACATGAATCCCCCAAAAGACATATTAATGTCCTAATCCCTAAAACCTGTGATTTCCTTTTATTTAGAAAAAGGGTCTTTGCAATTGTTAGTTAAGTTTCTCTAGATAAGGTTCATCTACTGAGCTGTGTCAGTAGACACTAAATCCAATGTTTCTTTATAGGAGATACACAGAGGAGAACCACACAAGGAAGAGGGGAAGGCCAGGTAAAGATGGACGCAGAGATTAAAGCTATGTATCCACAGAAAGCAATGCCTGGAGCCAGCAGACACTAGAAGAAACAAAGAAGGGTTCATCCTTAGACCTTTCAAATAGAACACAGATCTGCCAACACTCTGAGTTGGACTTCTGGCCTTCACAACTGTGAGAAAATAAATTTGTTCTTTTATTAGTCACCTAATTTGTGGCAAGTTGTTATGAAAATGCTAGAAAACCAATACACATGCTAATACTCATCAAATAAAAACTAGAGTAGCTATCTTAATATTCAAAAAAGCAGACTTCAAATGAAACAAAATTTTCAGGGGTACAGAGAGTTATCACATAATAATAATAAAGAGGTCAGTTCTCCAAGAAGACATAACAATCCTTAACATGTACGCATGTAACAACAGACTGTCAAAATGCATGTGATACAAACTGATAGAAATTCAAGAAGAAATAGACAAATTAATTATCATATTTGCAGACTTCAGGATCCCTCTTTCAGCAATTGACAAATCAAGGAGGCAGAACAGCAGTAAAGATGTGGTTGACCTGAACAGCACCATCAATTTGATCTAATTGACATTTATAAAATACTTGATTCAACAATAGCATAATGCACATTTTTTTCAATCTCACATGGAATATTTATCAAGAAAGCCACACTCTGGGCCATAAACCACACCTTAATAAATTTAAAATAATTGTTCAATGGATGTACAGATGAGTGCAAGATGAATGAGTTCTAGAGATCTGCTGTACAACATAGTGCCCATAGTTAACAATTCACTATTGTACACCTAAAATTTTGTTAAAAGTGTAGATCTCGTGTTACATATTCTCAACACACACACAAAGGGGCAAGATAAAATTTTAGGAGATGATAGATATTTATTATCTTGATTTTGCTGATCATTTCACATGTGTATGCAAATCCCTAAATTCATCTAATTGTATACAATAAATATGCCCAGTTTTATGGATTTCAGTATACATCAATAAAACTCTTTTTTAAAAAACGTAATCCTACATGATATGCTTTCAGACCATGATGTAATTAAACTAGAAATTAATTACAGGGAGTTAGCTCAAAAATCAAAATTAATTGTAGATTTAAAAACACACTATAGCCAGGTATGGTGGCTCACATCTATAATCCCAAAACTTTGGGAGGCTGAGGCAGGAGGATTACTTGAGTCCAGGAAATCGAGACAAGCCTGGGCAAACTTTTTTATAGAGTCCTGTCTCTATAAAAAAATAAAAAAATTATCCAGACATGGCGGTGCATATCTGTGGTCCCAGCTACCTGGTCAGCTAAGGGAGGAGAATTGCTTGAGCCCAGGAGGTTGAGGCTGCAGTGAGCCATGTTCACACCACTGCACTCTAGCCTAGGCAACAAAGCAGGACTCTCTCAAAAAAATAAAAAATTAAATTAAAAAACTATTCTACTAAATATCAACACATAGGTCAAAGAAGAAGTGTCAAGAGAAATTTAAAAGCATTTTTATCTAAAATGAAAAAGCAACTTATCACTAATCCATGTGATGCAGCCAGAGCAGTGCTTAGTGGGACATATCATTGAATAGTTGTATTCAAATAAAAGAAAGATCTAAAATAAGTAATCTAAACTTCTACCTTAGAAACTTATGGAGAGAAGAGCAACATGAGCTGAAAGCAAGCAGAATAAAATAAATAAAAATTCCAGTAGAAATCAATGAAATTAAAATTAAGGAAAAAGTGGAGAAAATCAACAAAACCAGAAGCTGTTTTTTAAAAAAATACAAATGAAACTGACAAAACTCTGTCTAGGTTAACAACAACGACAACAACAACAACAAAAAGAGAGAGAGAGAGTGAGAAAGAGGAGAGAGTGAAGACACAGAGTATCGATATTGTATATAAAAGAGGGTTCATCACTATTGATCCTATCTACACATCAAGGAAATAAAGGAATATAGTAAACAACTCTATGCATACAAATTTGACTTTGATGAAATAGGTAAATTGTTTGAAAGACATAAACTATAATTAATGGAAAATGCCAAGCCAAGATAGTTTTGCTGGTTAATTATACCAAACATTCAAAGAAGAAGTGATAAAAATTCTCTACAATCACTTCCAGAAAATCGAAGCAGAGGAAATCTTCCTACTGCTTCTTTGATACCAAAATTACTCTAATACTAAAACCAGATAAAAACTTTACAAGAAAGGTAAGCTACAGATGAGTAACTCTTATGAGCTTAGATAAAAAATATTCTCAACACTATATTAACAAATTAAATCAATCAATCCTTAAAAATCAGTTAAATATCACAGCTGAATCAGATTTATTACAGGTATGCCAGGCCATTTCAACATTTGAAAAATCAGTTAAAAAATTTATCTATCATATTAATGGGTTAAAAACATATGAACATATCAATAGATGAAAAAAAATAGCATTGAGAAAAATATCCCACATCTATTTGTGATTAAAACATTGAGCAAACTAACAACAAAGAACTTCTTCAACTTGTTTTTAAAAATGTACAGCTAATATTCTATTATGTGGTGAGAAACTGGATGCTTTTCCCCTAAGATCAGACAGTAAAGGAAATAAAAGGCATATATCTTACAAAAGAAGAAATGAAACTTTGATTATCTATTTAAAAAAACAATAAATTGAAAAGACACCTGGAACAAATACATGGCTATAGCAAGGTTGCAGGATACAAGGTTATTATATAAAAGTCAATAGCTTTCCCACATACCAGCAATAAACAATTTGAATTTGAAATTAAAAACCAAACAGCATTTATAATAGTATCAAATATATGTAGTATTTAAGCATAAGCATAATTAACTATGAATAGAATTTATATGTGGGAAAAATACAAAACTCTGATAGAAAGTAAAAGAGCTGAACTCATGGAGAAAGAGTGCATTCATGGATTGGAAGACAAATATTTTTGGTGTGTCATTTTTTTTTTTTTTTTTTTGAGATGGAGTCTCGCTCTGTCGCCCAGGCTGGAGTGCTGTGGCATGATCTCAGCTCACTGTAACCTCCGAGTCCCTGGTTCAAGCGATTCTCCTGCCTCAGCCTCCCTAGTAGCTGGGATTACAGGTGAGCACCACCACGCCCAGCTAATTTTTGTATTTTTAGTAGAAATGGAGTTTCACCATGTTGGCCAGGATGGTCTCAATCTCCTGATATCATGATCTGTCCGTCTCGGCCTCCCAAAGTGCTGGGATTACAGGCGTGAGCCACCATGCCCGGACAGTGTGTCAATTCTTTTTGACTGTATCACAACACAATCAAAATCAAAACCCAAGCATGATATTTTGTGAATGTCTTTAAACTGATTCTAAAGTTTATCGGTTTCTAAAGTTTATCGGTGAATGCAAAAGACCCAAAATAACCAGTACAATACTGAAGAACAAAGTTGAATAACTGATATTACCTAGCTTCAAGACCTATAAAGCTACACAGAAATCAATATGGTATAGAGAAAGAAAAGACACATAAATTAGTGGATCAGAATAGAAAGCTAAGAAATAGACTGATGCAAATCATCTCATTTTTGACAAAGGGACAAATATGATTCAATGGGGAAATGACAATCTTTTAGCAAATGGTCCTGGGACAAATTAACATTCATATGCAGACAAATGAATCTAGACTTAGAATTCACACACACACACACACACACACACACACACACACACACACACACAATAAATGAATCATGGATCTAAATATAAAACAAAACTGTAAAACTTTTAGAAGAAAACATAGGAGAACATTTATATGAAGTTGAATTTGTTGATATGCTCTAATTGCAGAGAGCATAAAATGCTTGATCTATGAAAAAAAATGGATGAATTTAACTTCTTAAAATTAAAACTTCTGGTTTGCAAAGGACATTATTAAGATAATCCAAAACCAGGACATTGACAGTAGAAAAGTATTTGCAAAACACATACCTGATAAATAAAAATTGAATCCAAAAATGTACAAAGAACCTTTAAAACTCAACAATAAGAAAACAAACTGAATAAAAATTGTACATAGGTCTTGAATAGACATTGCACCAAGGATATTATACACATGACAAAGAACTGTATAAAAAGATCCTCAATATAATTTGATTACAGGGAATGCAAATTAAAATAAAAATAAGACATTACTACACATCTAGTCTATAGAATAGCTAAAATCAAAATAAATAAATAATGCCAAGTGCAGGCAAGATGGGGAGCAACAGGAACTATTATTCATTGCTGGTAAAAATGCAAAGTGCTGCAGTAATTTTGGAAAACACTTGTAGTCTTTTGTAAAACCAAACATAGTCTTACCATATGATTCAGTAATTGTGCTGATATTTATCTATCCAGTTAATTTGAAACTATATGCTTATATAACAATCTGCATACAAATATTTATAGCGCTTTTATTCATAATTTACAAAATCGGAAACCAACCAAGTGGTCCTTTACTAACTGAATAAATAAACTGTGTGGCAACCATAAAATGGAATATTATTCAGCAACAAAAAACCTTTTTTCAAGGCATGAAAAGACATGAAGGGCACTTAAATGCATATTGGTAAGTGAAAAAAGCCAGTATGAGAAAGCTGCATATTGCATAATTGCAATTATATGACATTCTGGAAAACACAAAAGTAAAGAGACAGTCAATTGGTCATCTGTGACCAGGGACAAGGTGGGGGAAGGTGGTGATGGAGGAGTGTAATAGGTGAGAAATAGGGCATGTTTAGAGCAGTAAAATTATTCCATATGATACCATAATGATGGATAGAAGGTATTATGCATTTGTCAAAACCCATAGACTTCTATAGCACAAAGAGTGAATATGTGTCAATAAACAGTATAAATTGTTTAAGAAGAGGGGGCATTTCAAGAAGAAATGCAGACTGTTACAAGATAACCTAACTGAATCACATATTTTTCAAATAACCTTCAGGGATGGTGGTAAAAATTGCTGATCTAAGCATCTTTGGACGTGAATAGAGCCTGTAAGACTAAAGAAAAAATAAACTGCTGATAAACACTATACTTAGTTGATAAAGTTATTTCCCATGGTTGCATGGATTAACAATTCTACTACTGTTCTACTGTGCACTGTAATTGAATGATGAAGTAAATGGATGGCAATGGCA